AATTCGCTATTTTGATGTCGACCCGATTATTTAGTATTCCTTTAAAATGTATATTAAATCTTAATATAAACCTAATTAAATTCATTTTGGATTAAGGTTAATTGAAAATATTTCAAAACTAGTTTTTCTCCTTTGCTTCGCTTGCGTAGTTTACCTGTTTGTAATTGCTTCGCTCCTGAAGGTGATAGCATGCTGTTAGATAGCCTCTTATATTATTCAATAAAAAGGCTATAAAATACAAAAAGTTTTTTTCAAATCGGACTAGTAGTTTCAGAGATTAACGTGTTAAAACCAATATCAAAATAAACTCTTCAGCTTTATTTATTAGTATAATAGGTACAAATATCTTTACATACAATAAAATTCTAACTGAGTCGAATCTGTAAATTAAATATTTTTTGGAAAATCTTATTGAAATACTCATTATTATCGATACAGAGACCGAATCTATAGTTTTTAGATTTTTTGTCTGTCGTCTGTCTGGGAACGCATCACGAGAAAACCACTGAACAGATTTTGATGAAATTTGGTAAAATGATAGCTGGTTAACCAAGTCAACATATAGGATACTTTTTACTGCGGGAAAATATCTCATCTATGAGGAATGTATACTAAACGTTAAAACGTAACTAGGGACGAACCCGAGTGGTGAAAAGGTGAGTGGCTACTAAAATTATAAATTAAATATCTATACAACGAATTTCGTGTTGAATCTTACAAAAATAGAAAATAATTCTAGTCGTCATGGAAATGTGAATTAAACTGAGAGCGTTTTGACTTGTTACGTACAAAATTTATTACCCGCGACTCCTCCTTCGTATTTTCTTCTACGTAGTTAAATACTTTCTTAGATTTACGCGAATATTTGACATTTTATATAAAAACTTCTTTTTTGGATATTTTTTTTTAATATTTTTTTGTTTTGCGTATATTTAAAAAAATATTATATTTAAAACGCTCTACTAAAATGTGTAGCATTAGTGTACGCGCTTGTCTACACTCTATATTGCATGCAGCATCCGGCTAGCCAGGGTCGTTCACCATAAACACTTGTGTTCAAATCTTCATCCATTCATTATGTCATTCAAAGGAAAATTTTCATACAAACATTTCCTATCATATGTATGTAAGAAAATTTTGTAATTTTAAATAAAACAACCTTTACGGAAGTTTTTCGCGGATTCATTTTGATTTTTGGTTCCCGACGTTTTGAATGCTTTACAGCAATTATTGTCATGGGAGAGACTCGTCTTTCCGATATCCAAAAATAAGATTTTTTAAATGTTAAATATTACCGTAAATATAAGAAAGTATTAAATTTTGTAATATTTTTTTTTTCGTCTAAGTTGAAATTCTCATAACATAGAAATACATCTATTATCTATACCTATATCGGAGGAGGATTTAGTTACCTTTTTCTGCTATAAAACATTATTATTGCTTAAAGTCACTATATTTTGTGAATAGTTTAGTTTTTATTCCGAACTAATTCGAACTCCGAGCAGAGACTACGTCTGGAGCGGGGTCGAGACGCCATCATGGCATTCATTGGAGATACGTGTAGTAACGTTGGTTGATCATGGTGGATCATAGAGAGCTATGTTTTGATATTGTAGGGTAGCCCAGTAGTAACGCGCTCGCTTGGGAAACTGAGTGAAGCGGGTTCAAATCTCAGGTCTTGCACCTCTGATATTTTCATGTGCGAATCATTTCTAACATGATTACCACTTACCTTACGGTGAAGGAAAACATCGTGAGGAAACCTGCATGTCTGAGAGAACCTAGCAAGTTTTCGAAAGACATGTGAAGTCCGCCAACCGGCATTTGGCCAGCGTGGTGAACTATGGCCTGATCCCCCTCGTATTGAAGGGAGGCCCGTGCCCAGCAGTGGGACGTTAAAAGGGCTGAATACATTGTAGTTGGTAGTCAATGTTCGATGTCGAGAACCCGCTACTCAATTAAACTATTAGAATTACCGTTTCAAGCTTATAACATTGTGATTTGCCTGATTAAATTGTACTGAAAATTGAATTCTTTATTATTTGAGCCCTGATAACGTCCACAAAATTAGTACCCGCTAAAGTTGATGTTTGTAGAATATATATAACATGACACATACTCGTATAAAAAAAATGTAACTGATCGCTGTCTGTACACGGAAGATATTTGAGAAAAACTATTATTTATTAACGCAATATAACCCCAAAAAATGATTTTTAGAATTTTTCTGTTTATCTGTGCCCGCTAATCTCAGAAACGGCTTAACCGATTTGGGTGCGGATTAATGTATTATGATAAATTAGTTTAACATTTAGTACTTGTTTTATTTCAATCGGTTCATAAATAAAAAAAGTTATTTTAGAGAATCAACCAATCATATGTAAAAAGTTTTCTCATTCATAGGACACATATATTTAAAGAAGGATGCTACGAAATATTCGAAGTATTCGTTGACAAATTGGCTACTAGCTGTTGTTGTGTGAACTTTATACGCTTTACTATTAGTAGGGGAGCCCAAGAGGGGATTTTCTGTAGTTACTCGAGCGCGGCAGATTAACATAAAAGAGGTTACCTTGCACTTTATTGAGTACTTTCACCATAATATAAGTCTTCTATATAAAGGGGCGCGTCTAGGGAAGCCGATTAAAATATTTAAAAAATGTTTTGATAAGGTAGAAATACTTGAAACCGTCAGATTAAGGTGTGGTAGGCTAGTCACATCCTGAAAAGTGTCTAATTCAATAATCTGCCGATTTGCACAAGCCGAAGAGGCAAAAATCGACTATAAAGTTTATGATGATTTTTGCCTCTTAGGCTAACCACACCTTAATCTGACGGTTTCAAGTATTTCTACCTCATCAAAACATTTTTTAAATATTTTAATCGGCTTCCCTAGACGCGCCCCTTTATATAGAAGACTTATATTGTGGTGAAAGTACTCAATAGAGTGCAAGGTAACCTCTTTTAACTACAGAAAATCCCCTCTTGGGCTCCCCTATTATATGATAGATCTATGATTTTGGTCCGAGCTTGCTAAGTCCAAATAAATAAATAAATAGACAGAAAGACAGACAAAATTATCGTTATGATGGTTCTGATATTGTGCAATTAATTAACCTTACATAATATGTGTTAAGAGTTTGCATCGTGGCGTAACAGATGGCGCTACGGTCCATCTGAATCGCGCTATCGTTTGGTTCTTTGTAAAACCATAAAGGTAAAATAATTTTTTTGATTAAATGTGAGGCTAAGGAATATCTAGTGTTTTACTTTCAAGTGGCTCCAGATACTACCATTGGATATCCCTAAGGCATTTTTGGGACATGGTCCTTCGAGCCGGATTATATCAGGCAAGGAGTTGATCTAAGTCCAATCGTGATTAAGGGCGGCGGATTGTCGTTGAGGATCTCGAAGCACCTGGTGACTACGGCTGTTCCCAGGACATCGACAACGGCGGCCTCCACACGGATGGGCATCTCTACAGGGCGACCATCTACAGTAGCAACTTTGGCCGGATTACTGAGCAAGTGACATAGTGCAGTGATATTTATGGACATTAAACTGTAAGTACTTTTATATTATAAAAACTTAGGAATAAATACAAGTAACTTTGGGACTTAGAAAATTTAACATAAAGTGAACTTAGAAAATTTAAACTAAATTAACTTTGGAAAAAATAAAGTGTTAGTTAGAACTTAGAATAGTTTGCAAAAAGTGAATCATACGGGGAACCTATGCCCAATTTTACATAGAAATTATCAAGCTAAAAACACTTAGAAAAATTTCATCGAAATTAACTTGTATAATTTATCATCATAATGGAACTTATAAAAATTCAAGAAGATATTAGATTGCAGCTACAAAAGGCAAAAGTTAATTTCAAAAAGAGTCCTAAAGAGAGGATTTCTAGATCTTATATTGAAACCAGGATTGAGATTATTAACAATAAGTGGAAAGAATTTTCTCAAAATCATTATGAGATTTTAAAAAGTAAAGACACGGTAGGATCTAGTTATTTTCTAAAAGACATACACAACGAAGTTGAGGAATTCTATTTAGACTTTAAATCGGAACTTAGTGACCTTTTAGATGGAATTAAAGGTAGTTCAGTAGCGACAAGCAAGTCTTGCACAGAGATAAAAGTCACGAAAACACCTGTAAGATTACCGAAAATAGCAATTCCTACATTCTCGGGTAGATACACAGAATGGTTAACGTTTAGAGATTTGTTTGTATCTTTGATTCATAATAATAGCGATATTGATAACGTCCAGAAATTACATTATCTTAAGGGACATTTAACGGGAGAAGCAGAGCAGTTGTTGCGACACATAGCTATAACTAATGATAATTATGAACAGTGTTGGAATATATTGGAGCAACGTTATAACAATAAACAATTTTTGGTTAATAATATTTTCACCCGGTTTTTCGCACAACGTAATCTCACGACAGAATCTGCTACGAGCCTTAAACAATTACTGGACAACACCACAGATATGATGCAAGGATTGCAAAATTTAGATATCGATACCACGTCTTGGGATGCAATAATTATTTATATTGTGTCACAAAAATTAGATGCAGAGACAAGAAAACAATGGGAAGCTAAAGTTAGCGAAATAACATTTAATTGTAATGTATTACCAGACTTTAAACAGTTTCAAAATTTTTTGCAAAATAGATTTCATTCATTAGAATTCTTAGATACAAAGCCTATTTCTAATTATAAGCATAATCAAACTTCAAAATGTCATGTTAATAATAGTCAATATATATCACAAAATAATTGTTCTTATTGTCAAGGTAGCCATAGAATAAGTTCATGCAATAATTTTGTAAAATTAGATAATAACGCAAAACGTTTGTTTGTTCAAAATAATAAGTTATGTTTTAATTGTTTAGGAAACGGTCACAGTGTAAAACATTGTAGAAGTACAACTTCTTGTCACATTTGTAAAAGACGACATCACTCATTACTTCATTCCAGTAGTAGTAATATGGAGCCTATAGCATCACCTCAGGTATTAGAAGAACAACCGGAGAAGGGTAGTTTACATATTTCAAAGGGTGGAGAGCAAATTTCTTTGTTACCAACAGCAATTGTTTATGTTAAGTCTAAGAACGGAACCATCCCATTGCGTGCGTTAATTGACCAGGGTTCACACATTTCATTCATAACGCAAGCAGCGGTTCAGTTACTGGGAATCAAACGTCAAGCGGTCAAGGGTCATTTTGCAGGGTTGGGCGGTGAAATTAACGTGGTTTCAAAATCCAAAACAGATCTTGTTTTGCATTCATTGCACAATCCAGACTGCAGCGTCCAAGTAACAGCCTTTGTTTTAGACAAAATAACGGGATTTCTACCTCCTCAAAGAGTTTCGGTGGCATCATGGCCGATTTTAAAGGATATCAAGTTAGCCGATCCGAATTTCCACTCACCTAACAAAATCGATTTGTTGTTAGGGTCAGATGTTTATGGGAATATATTGATGGAAGGTATTCGCAAATGTTCATCAGGGTCGTTGCTAGCTCAAGCCACCATTTTTGGTTGGATTTTAACCGGGACAAATCAATTACAATCACATGCTGCAAATATAGTTAGCATGCATGTTCAATCGGATGATTTTTTGAAATCATTTTGGGAAATCGAAAACGAGCCAAAGTTAAATCAGAAGATTATGTCAGAAGAGGAGAAACGGTGTGAAGAAATCTATGCTGCAACTACTACCCGTGATGAAACTGGACGTTATATTGTCAAGTTACCGTTCCGGGATGATAATCCAACTTGTCAAGGTCAGACACGGGAAGCAGCTTTGAGAAGATTTCTGAAACTAGAACAACAATTAGCAAGGAATGAAAACTTAAAAGGGGAATTTAAACAAACCTTTGATGAGTATGTGGAACTTCAGCATATGCGACCAATTAATAGTGAAGACAGCAAGATTGGAGTGCACTTACCATACCACGCAGTCATAAGGAACGATAAGACGACTACGAAAGTGCGCGTTGTTTTTGACGCTTCCTGTAAAGGGAAAAACGGAGTAGCGCTAAATGACGACCTGCTGGTAGGACCAACCTTGCAATCGGAACTTCGTCACATCATATTGCGTTGGAGGATACACCGAATCTGCCTCTCCGCCGACATTACTAAGATGTATAGGCAGATTCGTATAAGGGACGAAGATGCGGATTACCAGCGTATTTTCTGGCGAGATGCACCTGAAAAAGATCTTAAGGAATATAAATTATTGAGGGTGACTTTTGGCACGTCATCAGCACCTTATCTGGCTGTTAAAACACTCATACAGCTAGCTATTGATGAGGGAAGCAAATATCCACTAGTTGTAGATAAAGTTAAAACGGATTTTTACATGGATGATTTTATGTCAGGATGTGAAAATGTAACGGAAGCAATGCAAATATTTAATCAATTAAATGGATTATTAGAAAAAGGGGGATTTCAGCTACAAAAATGGAAAAGCAATGACGAAGCAGTAATGAAAATGATAGAAAAGAAAGGTAAAGGGGAAAGAGTAATAGAGGAAGGTAAGGGAATTGAGGAACAATTAATAGAAGGTAAAAATAAAATATTGGGACTTACCTGGAGCCGAAACCAAGATGAATTTGAGTACGCCGTTAACTTACCAGCCATGTCTGCACCTGTAACAAAAAGAAAGGTAATTTCCGATATATCGCGGTTATATGATCCACTAGGATGGATTGCTCCAAGCATAATAAGCGCAAAAATATTCATTCAGAAATTATGGATGTCGGGATTGGGATGGGATGATGAATTGCCGCAAGGTTTGCTTGAAGAATGGATTACGTATCGTAATAATTTAACACAACTTACCAACTTCCGCTTGCCTCGATGGATGAAGTGTGAAAGTAATAATCGTCTTGTAGAAATTCATGGATTTTGCGATGCATCCAATGTGGCATATGGTGCTGTAGTGTACTTACGCGTTGTTACCTGTGAGGATAGCATTGAAGTTAGTTTAATATCAGCTAAAACCAGAGTCGCCCCGATTAAACAAGTGTCCATCCCGAGACTAGAGTTGTGTGGAGCTGTACTTTTAGCAAAACTTCTCGTGGAAGTTGGCACAGTCCTAAATGTTCCTAAGGAGCACTGGCATGCATGGACTGATTCGGAGGTGGTATTAGCATGGTTGAGTAGTCACCCTAGCAAGTGGAAACCTTTCATTGGTAATAGAGTAGCAACAATTCTAACACTGTTAGAACGAAACCAGTGGTCATATGTTAAATCAGAAGCAAACCCAGCTGACGCTGCTTCTCGAGGGGTAAAACCATCAGATATTAGTACTCACCAGTTATGGGTAAATGGGCCAAATTGGTTAAAGCATCATGACATTCCATATGTAAATCCGAAGAGTTTAACCACTCACCTAGAAGAAAGAATGAAGTTTGTTAACATTGCAGTAGAAGAACACGAAAATATCTCGAACAAATTTTCATCATTAAGTAGGTTGTCGCGAGTTGTAGCTTACTGTAAAAGATTCCTGAAAAAAGAAAAGAATAAAATACCAAAACATACTTACCTTCTGAAAGAGGAAATACAGGAAGCATTAGATTGTATAGTTAAGCAATGCCAAAATGAATATTTTAAGCAAGAAATACAAGACATTACTAGTGGTAAAAACATAAAAGCTAAATCAAAACTTACCTCTTTGAATCCTTATCTAGATGATCTTGGAATGCTTCGTGTTGGTGGGCGGTTGCAATTGGCCCAGGTCGAAGAGGATAGAAAACATCCCTTATTAATTCCTCATGATGCTCACTTAGCTAAACTTATAGTAGGAGATGCACATATAAAAACTTTGCACGGGGGCCCACAATTAATGTTGAATTACATACGTTCCAGATATTGGATAATAGGAGCTAAAAATTTAGTAAAATTTTACTATAGAAATTGTGTAAAGTGTACCCGTTATCGCACTCAAATTAAAAATCAATTAATGGGCCAGTTACCAGCGGAGAGAATTTCCGCATCTAGACCATTTTCGTTTAGTGGCGTAGACTACGCGGGACCCATAAACATCAGAGTCTCAAAGGGACGTGGCAACAAATCCTACAAGGGCTATATTTGTCTTTTCGTATGCATGTCAACTAGAGCAATACATTTAGAAGCGGTCAGTGACTTAACAACTCAGGGATTTCTGTCTGCGTATAAAAGATTTGTAGCAAGGCGCGGTCATTGTAGCAACCTGTATAGTGACAACGGCTGTAACTTTGTGGGAGCGGCACGAGAGTTAAAGGTTTTATTGCAGGATGAAAGGTCTAATTTGCGAGCGGAAATTTCAGATTGGTTAGCCACAAACGGAACTCAATGGCATTTCATTCCGCCTCATGCACCTAATTTTGGAGGCTTATGGGAGGCGGGGGTAAAGTCAACCAAATACCATTTGACAAGAGTAATCGGCAACTCCACGCTAACTTTTGAAGAGATCTCCACCATATTGTCTCAAATTGAAGCTTGTCTCAATTCGAGACCAATATCGTACATGGAAGAACAGGATGAGATTTTGCCTTTGACTCCAGGTCATTTTTTAGTGGGTGAACCTTTAGTTTTACCTCCCGAACGTAACTATGAACAGGCGACACTTAGTTCGCTAAGAAGATGGCAATTGTGTCAACGTATGTTACAACATTTTTGGAAGCGGTGGTCACAAGAATACTTGTCAGGGTTGATGCAGAGGCGTAAATGGAATCGTTTAATACCGGAACCAGTGATTGGTGATGTTGTCTTGGTTAGGGAGCCGGATTTACCACCCGCCAGGTGGTTAATGGGCAAAATTGTTAAAAAGCATCCTGGCGTGGACAATGTGACTAGGGTAGTAACATTACGCTATAAAAATTCGTATATAAAGAGACCTCTGTCAAAGATTGTTATATTACCTATAAGTAAGAATTAATGTAGTAGGTTAATATAGCTCCGCTACATATGTACCAAAGTATTAATTTTTGTTTCGTTGATTGTGTCAAATAATTTAAATTTGTTGCTATTGTTAATTTATAGTAAGGACTGTTGTCCTTAGTGGGCGGGTATGTTAAGAGTTTGCATCGTGGCGTAACAGATGGCGCTACGGTCCATCTGAATCGCGCTATCGTTTGGTTCTTTGTAAAACCATAAAGGTAAAATAATTTTTTTGATTAAATGTGAGGCTAAGGAATATCTAGTGTTTTACTTTCAAGTGGCTCCAGATACTACCATTGGATATCCCTAAGGCATTTTTGGGACAATATGTAATATTATTATTTTGTATTAATAAGTGTAGATCCTCTATATTTCAACGCAATTTGTAAAGAGAGCTTGAAAAATTATTAAAAACAGATCGATAACAAAAGTATAACAGCATTTACGTAATATGTAAGACAAACAAGAATTATCCATGGAGAAATTCTTAAAAAAATCAATTTGTAGATAAATTACAATATAAAGTTTTGCCTGACTTTATTATATTAGTATCACAATCAGCCTTTCATAGTGCTTCTAAAAATATTGAACACTAAAACCCATCTAACACGAGCTGTTCAAGATCGAACGCCAAGAATTTACAATTCAAACATTGACCTTGCGTTTGCCTCGTACATGTAAATTGAGAATATTGGCAGAAATATAGAATGCACCGAAACTTTTCACTTTAATAGACATTCAAAGAAATGATTATTTGATCATTTTGACGACTGTGCAAGGTAGTGTAATTTTTAAGGTCTTATAAGTGAAAATTTGAGGTAACCAAGGTTAAAATTGAGGTTACGGCGTCTGTTCGGCTAAATTTTAAGTTTTATTGGTATTTTTGTTCAACGTATATGTTATTCATATTCGCCAAAAGTCTTACTTCTTATTTATAATATTATTATAATTGTGAAAGTTTAGTTGTTTGGATGTTTGTTACTCAATCACGCCAGAAATGCTGAACGGATCTAGGTGAAATTTGGCATTGAGGTAGATTCGAGCCTCCCGGGGGAGAAGCCAACTCCTACCGGGCGCGTCCCCAGGTGGCGGATAGGGGAATGCCACCCGCTTAGGGCGGCGGGTGGTACCGGACAAATCCGGCGCGGACCAAATGGCTTGGGTGGGGCCGCTCATCTAGGCCTCGAGTCGAAGACGTTGCGGCCACCGGTGGTGGGACTGCTTGGTCCCACAACCGGATGATGGGTGCCGGTTGCGGGACTGTGGTCGCAGGCCCGCATCCGGCGGAGGGGTAGGCCGCGGCGGGAGAGGAGTGCCGGTATTTCGGTGCGCCGTTCTCCCTACCTTCCGTGGCCTAGACGGGGCCGCCACCGTTTGATGGCGGACGCGGTGGGGCTGCAGGGGAAGAGGAGTGTCGGTGTTTCGTTGCCGCTCTCCCTGTCCTCTGCAGCCGATTGGAGGTGGCCCACTTCGGTGTGCGTAGGTTCGGTTTAATGGGGCTGCTCCGGGTACCTCTCTGGTGTAGCAGAGTTGACTGTGGAGCAGCCCCATCGATGTGGTGGTCAGCCGTTGGCAGACCTGCCGCCGGGGCGCCGTAGTAGTTATGCGCAAGCGATCCTGCAGCGTCCCATTAAGGCGGAGGGGAGGGGAATGTCGGGGAAAAAAAAAAAAAGATTCGAGCCTGGAATAGCACATAATCTATAGGCATGAGGCATATTCCGGCAAATACACGGTTCCTGTGGGATAGGTTTGTTTTTATTGATCTAGAGGCGAACCTGAGCGAAGCGGGGGTGAGCCGCTAGTATCTTATATACACAACAATAGAGAGTGTCATAGATCTATTGATTGGTATTTTCTCGATCTATTTCCATCCTAAAATGTGCATAAATTATCTCCATATAATTGACACATTGACGCCATACGTTGCTTACATCAGACTCAACATGAATGACTGCTATGACTCAAACCTGGAGCCGATCCAGCGAAACCTGCCCAAATGCAGCAAGAATGAAATTACGTTGTAGATAGTTTGTTGGAGATCGGTAAAACTAACAATATATAGTATTTATGTATATTGTACATAACGATGTTGGATTTTCTATACGGGATAGAAGACATTGATTTTATCCTCAAAAATTATACAATGAACAAAATAACGTATAAACAAATTGAACAGTTGTTTTGATAAAGACGTTTAAAATAGTTCTATTTGATCAGATTTTATTTTGCTTATGTATATAAATTATATCTAATTATTGAAAAGTCGTGCTGAATTAATAAATAAAAATAAAATACGCTTTTTAATATAGCATGATGCCAGATTTTGTGGTTCTGACCTTCACAGAAGTAATTGTAGTATTATTCGAACTAAACTTTTTATAAAGCTGCGTATCTTATTAGAATAGAATATTCGAAAATACATATTTCATTTGTTCGATACTTTATGTTTTGAGCTTAAC